AAAAATTTTTTTTTTGGGGGAAATGTGAGGAATTAAATGAAATTTTTGGATGATGAATTTTGTAAAAGAAAATTTTATACATATAACAATAAAATTTTCATGTAATTAAATTTTATATAATTTATTTTGTTTTTGTTAATAATTGTTTATGTTTGTTAATTCAACAGCAATATATTTAAATTGCTATAAAATAAATTAGAGAAGAGATTAATAACTTAGATAATTGATATTTGAAAGCAATTTTGATTGTATATTTTATTTTCATATAGTTAGAAAAATTCATATTATCTAGAAGAAAATATAATATCATTGTTTATATTTATGATCAATTGTGAATGAATTCTATTTAAAGATTTTGTTATATTCTTGAGAATGTATCAATTGAATATGGAAAAAAAAATAATGTATTGTAAAATTTGTATAATACTTTTGTTATATTAAAAATTGGGTTAAAGAATTTTAGGAATGAAACAGTTATTTGCTAAATTAAATGAAACACTTAAAAATAATAGTGAAACTAATTCTAATCTTTCAGAATCTTATAATAATAATAATAGTAATAGTCATAATTATATTGATTGGAATATTCTTGCAATAATTCTTTCCATTGTCTTAATAATTATGTTTAGCACTGTCATAAACACTTGCAGACTGAGAGTAATATAAAATAATATGAAAAGATGTTATTTACATATCGTATTTATGTAATAATTTCATTAATAAAATTGACATTATTATACATTAATTTTATTTGCATAATATATCCAGCAAAGAGCAATACATGATAACCTAATGCTAGAAGTTGAATCAGTAGATTCAGGATATGCAGACATTGAATATGAAGATATAGATGAAGAAATAAATGAAGGAGCAAGAATACTAGATGTAGATGACAGTGTAGAAAGAAGAGTAAATGAAAGAGTAACAGTAAATGTATATGCGCAAGTAGATAGTGAAGAAGAAGTAGTAGTAAGAATTTATTAGTTTATTTGATTGACGTTTCAGAAAACAACAGTAAATTATAATTGATAAGTTAGCTATGTATTGTACCTTTTTATGAATAAGTCTAACATTCATATAAACAAAAATGTATACTTAGATAAGAAGAAGCATAAACGAAAAATATCTAATTTTTTTTTGTAATTTTTTTTTTTAATAATATTCTATTTTAGTTAAAAAAAAAAAGTAAATAGATATATTTCCTCTTCTATTTGTTTAAAGGAATGAAAAAAGAAAAATTTTTTTTTTGTTGATCTTCTAATGAGTAAAAATTTTTAAAAAAATTTGTTAACCTATAATGAAAAATTATTAGTTTATAAAAAAATACTATTTTACATATAAATTGTTTTTGTAATAAAGATTTTTATTTTAATGAAAATAAGAAGAAATTCTTATTAAATAAAATAAATACCCTTTGTAAAATATGTATTATGTTTAGAATAGTAAAAACAATTAATTAACATATTTTTACATAAAGAATTAGAAGTATTATATATTTAAACTATTTCGTTTATGCTATATAAAGTAACGTATAAATTTTAATTATTTATAAAGAAAATATTCTTTACAATAACTAAAAATAGTAGAGGCTATTATACGTTTTCCTTATTTGTTTATTAATCTAGTGATTTATTAACTGAGTGTTCTGGGACTTTCCTATAGTAGCTAACAAACCAATTAATAAAGAGCATGTAGAGATGCATCTACGATTTTTGTATATTCAAGTATATTTTTATTTGCTTTGAACGAGTGATCATTAATTATAATCTACGTCGTTCAGCATTCTTTTATTTCAATAAACATTTATTTACTTTAATAAAAAATCCTTATTTTATTAAAAATTTAAATACTTATTTAACATTAATTATTAATTAATTATAATTACTAGTTTATTTATTATGAGTTATATTCAGAAATAATTTTATATTGCTGTTGAATTAACAAACGCAAATACTTATTAACAAAAACAAAATAAATTATATATATATTAATTACATGAAAATTTTATTGTTATATGTATAAAATTTTCTTTTACAAAATTCATCATAAAAATATTTCTTTTTACCTCACTAAAAAAAAAAATTTCTTTTTTTTTTTTTTTTTTATTTATTTATTTTTCTTAGTAATAAATATTTTAAAAAATTGATTTTTTTTTTAATCAATTTTCTTCCTGACTATTTTTACATTTTTTTATCAAACATTTTTTTACTGACATTCTTTGTACTTTCTTTTTAAAAAGTACAAACAAAAAAAAATCATCAAAATTTTTTCATTTTTGTGTGCATATACATGACCAATTTCGTATACTTCATTTAACTATTCCTTTTATTTTCCAAAAAGGTTAATGAAGCCTTTTATTAACCATCTAGCAATGTCTTTAAACAATCAACTAATAAATCAATTATGATGAATAAAGAGAATTACATACTTGCATATCTAAAGTAAAATCGGAAAAAAAGAGAAAATAAAGATACATGATAAAATGGATATAAACAATTTTACTGATAAAACTTATATAATAACTCAAAATAAAAAGGAATTAAGAAGACAACTATAATATGTTCCATTTTTCTTGAGAAGTAAATGTATAAAAAAAAAGAGTGAACATAGATTTTCTATTAGTGCATAAAGGAAAATGAAAAGCTATTATTCTAATTCTTTGAATGAAGTATTATTAGAGTTACTTGGGAACATTGATAAAAAATCCCATTTTAGCTATATGAGTGTTTTATTAACTGGGTGTTCGGAGACTTTGCTAGAGTAATGAACAAACCAATTAATAAAGAGCATGTAGAGATGACTCTACGATTTTCTTATACTTATGTATATTTTTATATGCTTTGAACGAATGATCTTTAATCATAAACTACTTCGTTCAGCATTCTTTTGCTTCGATAAGTATTTATTTACTTTAATAAATAAATCCTTATTTTATTAAAAATTTAAACACTTATTTAACATTAACTATTAATTGATTATAATTATTAGTTTATTCATTATGAGTTATATTCAGCAATCATTTTATATTGCTATCGAATTAACAAAACACAAATACTTATTAAAAATGGAAATAAATTATATGCATATTAATTACATGAAAATTTTATCTTCATATGTAAAAAATTTTCTCTCACAATTTCAAAATATAAATATTATGCAAATTAAACACTTTACAAAAATATCATTATCTTCTTAAAAAAAATCTCTCTCTCTCTCTGATTTTTTTTTCTCTTTTCAAAAAAAAAATAAAAATTAAATCTTTTTTTTATTTTTTTTTTTTTTTATCTTTATCTTTTTCGAAAGAAACATTTCTCAAAAAAAAATTCCAATAATTTTTTTTTTTTTTTTTTTTTTTTAGTTAGAAAAACTAACTATGTATTCTCCACATAGCTAGTCCTTTTATAGCCAAAAAGGTTAATGAAGCTTTTTATTAACCAATGAGATAATACTGTTACGTAAATTTTTTTCATTATATTAGTTAAATAAAGATTGTAGTGAAAGTAACTATCAATTGCCTCTATGTTAATAAGTATATGATTTTTCAATAAGGAGTTTTATTTATCTCTTTTAACCATCAATAGGATTAAATGAAATATAACTCCAAATTTAGTTATGCATGCAAAAATATTTAAGAAAATGCATACAATGAAGTTCACAAAAAGATAATTTATACCTTCTACTTTGCACTTTCATTTTAAAAGCTTAATTTTTTTTATCATAGAATAAATTTAATAAATATATATATATGGAAAGAAAAAAAAAAATATAGTGATTTTTTAATTGAATAAAAAATAATTAGTTATTAAAAAGGAAAAAGTTAATGGCATATAAAAGTTATGTTTTTCATGTAAGATAGTAAATATGTATTATATTTTAAAAGTTTACAAATTATTATTATTTATGTGTTAATAATATTATTTAATAGTTTTTATTAAGATATATGAACATTATTTTAAATTGGTAGATCAATAAAAATAAATAAGGTATTAACCTAGAATTAATTCTGACAATGAAGCTTCTAATAATTTGTTCATCTAATATCGTATGGCATTATTATATAAAAATCATTTGATTTATATAATAAGTTATATTGTAAAAATAAAATAATTACATATCACTAGACATTATGTTTATGGTTAATAAAAGGCTTCATTAACCTTTTTGATAATAAAAAGGACTAGCTATGCGGAGAATACGTAGTTAGTTGTACTAACTAAAAAAAAAAAAAAAAAAAATTATTTGGAATTCTATTTGAGAAATGTTTCTTTTGAAAAACATAAAGATAAAAAAAAAAATAAAAAAAAAGATTTACTTTTTTTTTTTTTAACTCAAAAAGAGATTTTGAATAGAGAGAGAGATTTTTTTCTTAGAAAAGATAATAATTATTTTGTAAAGAGTTTAATTTCGCATAATATTTATAGTTTGAATTTATGAGAGAAAATTTTATACATAGGACAACAATAATTTCACGTACTTAATATTCATATAATTTATTTGCATTCTTAATAATTGTTTATGTTTGTTAATTCAAGAGCAATATATTTAAATTGCTGAACATAACTCATAACAAAGAAATAAATAAATTACAATTAAATAATAATCAAAATTCAATAAGGATTTAAATTTTTTATAAAAAAAAGGATTTTCATTAAAATAAATAAATGACTATTGAAAATAAAGTACGCTGAATGAAGTAGATTATGTAATTAAAGATCACTCATTCAAAGCATTTAAAAATATATATAAATGCATCAAAACCGTAGATGCAACTCTACATGACCTTTATTAATTTGTTTGTTCAGTACACTAATAAAGTCACCGAATACCCATTTAATAAAACACAAAGTTACTGAATAGACAATTAATAAATCAAATGCTCTAGCAAATTCATTGTACAGATAATTAATAAATAAAAAATTACGCTAAAAAGAAATATAGATATATTTTGTTATTCATTTTTGTTGTATGTGTATTTACAATTACAAAAAAAAAAAAAAAAAAAAAAGAAAAAAACATTATGATAGCATTTTTATTTTTTTTCTTTAATTGAATAATGCGGAATGTTTTTATTTTATGAAAAATTAAAAATATAATGTTAAAATTTATTCATATAGAGTATTAAGTGAATAAAATTATATAGTAATATTCTAATGTAATTAATGTTTAATATTAATTGATAAAAGTGTATAATTTGTTTAATATTTTATTTTATTTAAAATAAGTCGAGTTCTCTCATGTTCACTACTAAGTTGCTTTCTTAGTCTAATGAAAACATTGAAAGAAAAATTAATAATAAATATTCCATATTCATTAATATATTAAGCAAAATATAAAAAAAAGAAAAAATACATGCTTATAAAATAATAATTCAATTTATTTTTTAGATAATTAATGTATATTCTGTCTTATAATATATTTAATGGAATTATTCTATAATTCATAATAAAATTATTTACTTCTTTTCTTATGTATTGTATTCTTACTATTATAATTTTGCTTTTAGGTTATATCATATTGGTAGATCCTAAGAATTATATAAATTTAAGCACATGTAGAAGTTATTTAATCAAAATAATGTATCAATTTTTTTATCAAAATTTGGAATATTTTCTTTATTTTTTATATTATTGGTTTTTTGATTTTTTTTCTATCATAACATGTGTTAATATTAATATGAAAGAAATACGAAAAAAAAAAGCGTGAATAAAATTTATTTTGTATCTTTACCTAAAAAATAAAAATAAAAACATGCATCAGTTTCTGCATGACAAGATGAAATTTTATTTTTATTTTTTCCATTTAATATAATTTTATTTAGTTATTTAATAAAATTCATTTCTTTTCATGTTTGATGTT